GGCATGAGGCAGGTGGATTGTATTATCTTGATGGTGGTGGCTCGAAAGTAGCTCTCCAGTCATCTCTTACCCCTCTCCAGTGGCACTATAGACTTGGTCATCCTTCACTCAAGGCTCTAAAGTTGTTGGTTCCGTCTTTAAGTCATCTTCCATCATTGGATTGTTCGTCGTGTCAGCTTGGGAAACACCATAGAGTCTCTTTTAGTCCTAAAGTTGATAGTTGTGTTTTGAGTCATTTTTCTTTAGTCCATTCAGATGTTTGGGGTCCAAACAAAGTAGTGTCATATAATGATTATAAATATTTTGTAATTTTAGTTGATGACTTTTCAAGGATGACATGGCTCTATCTCATGAAAGATCGAAGTGAATTGTTCTCTATTTTTCAAAAGTTTTATGCTGAAATTCGTATCCAATTTGGAGTTCATATTAAAATTCTTCGCTCAGATAATGCAAAAGAGTACACCTCAACACCATTTCAGCAATACTTAGAGCACCATGGGATAGTCATCAAACTTCTTGTTCTTATACCCCACAACAGAATGGTGTGGATGAACGGAAAAATTGACACTTACTTGAAAATGCTTGGTCTATTATGCTTAATATGAATGTCCCAAAGCGTTTTTGGAGTGATGCTGTCCTGACATCATGTTTCCTCATCAACCGGATGCCCATGTCCATCCTTGGAAGTCAGTCCCCTTTCTCAGTCTTGTTTCCTATTCTTTCTTCATTTCCTCTTACCTCTAAAGTCTTTGGGTGTGTTTGTTTTGTTCAGAATTTAGGGTCTGGTTTAGACAAGTTAGATAAGCGTGCTACTAAATGCATCTTCCTTGGATACTCCAGAACCCAAAAAGGGTATAAGTGCTATAACCCTAGCTCTCATCGGTCCTTTGTGTGCTCTGATGTCACTTTCTTTGAGTTTGTTCCATTCTTCTCAAATATTGATGTCCTTCCTACTCCTATGGTTCCACTTCCAATTCTAGTTGAGGACCCCCTTCCTATGGTTCTTGTTCTATCTCCGTCGCCGCCTTCATTAGTGTAGGTTAATATTGAGAGGCCATTATTCACACAAGTGTATACTCATAGAATAGCACCGGTCCTTCCTCCAGTTCAACCCTCGTCGACGGATCCTGTGGCTGCACCTTCTCCTTTTGACCTTGATCTTCTTATTGCATTGCGAAAAGGTAAACGTAGTTGTACATCTCACCCTTTTCTCATTATGTTTCTATTGCTCACCTTTCTGCTTCCCATTGCCATTTTATATCTTTGCTATCCTCTGTTTCCATTCCTAAGACTGTCTCTCCGGGGTGGCAACAAGCAATGGAAGATGAATTGTCTGCTTTGCAACACAATCACACGTGGGAGTTTACCACTCTCCCTCTCAGTAAGCATGTTGTTGGATGTAAGTGTGTCTACACAATTAAGTATCTTCTAGATGGTAGTGTGGAACAATTAAAGGCTAGGTTGGTGGCCAAAGGTTATTCTCAGTTATATGGTGTTGACTATACGAAGACATTTTCTCCTGTGGCTAAGATTGGTTCAGTTCGAGTATTGATTTAATAGTAGCAATGTATGATTGACCTCTCTTTCAGCTTGACATAAAAAATGCCTTCTTATAAGGTGATTTAGTTGAGGAAGTGTATATGGAGCAACCACCATGGTTTGTTGCTTAAGGGGAGGATGGTAAAGTTTGCAGACTTAAGAAGGCGATTTATGGACTGAAACAATCTCTATGGGCGTGGTTTGGTAGATTTATTGAAGTAGTGAAGAATTTTGGCATGAAACAATGTCAAGTAGACCATTCTGTGTTCAACCGTGACTTAGAAGATGGAAAAATCTTGTTAGTGGTGTATGTKGATGATATTGTCATAATTGGCAGTAACAACAATGGAATCGACAAGTTGAAAAATTTTCTACAGGATCACTTCCACACAAAGGATCTTGGTAAGCTGAAATACTTCTTCGGAATAGAAGTTGCAAGCATAGTTATCAAGGCAACTAGGCGAAGCTAGGTGACGCCTAGACGATGGAATCCATAAATATAAAATTTATAGATTTCAACCATATAATCATATTCAATATATTCATGATAGGTTCGACTGTTAAAAACTGAAGTGAGAAGTGAGAACAATGACTGAATCAATCAGTTTCAAGGAGCTTTTGTGCAAGGAAGACAAATAATTGACCAAATCCTGATAGTTAATGAATGTGAAGAGGAAATGAATAGGTCTAAAAAGGAAGGATTTGTGTGCAAAATGGACATAGAAAAGGCCTATGACATGGTTGATTGGAAATTTCTCGTATAAGTAATGCAACATCGAGGGTTTGGAGAAAGATGGTGTAACTGGATGTTTGGTTGTATACGGTCTTGTCATTTCTCTTCCCTTGTTAATGGAGTGGTGAAAGACTTTTTCCCAACTAGCATAGGGCTAACGCAAGGTGACCCTCTCTCTCATTTCCTTTTTACTTTATTGGTGGATGTCTTCAGTAGACTCCTCTCTAAGGCATATAGGGAAGACGAGTTTAGAGGGTGGAGAGTGGGTAGAGATAATGTTCCAATTACTCATCTCTAGTTTGCAGATGATATCATAATTTTCTGTGAAAGGGGAGACATTAAGAGAGTGAGGAGATTGAAAGAACTGATTAAGAAGTTTGAATAAGTTTCCAATATGAAAATAAACTTAAATAAGAATTGCATAGCAGGGGTTAATATGGAGAGAATGACATGATCTTGATAGCAAATTGCTTAGAGTGTCATATCACCCCTTGGCCTTTGAACTATCTAGGACTACCCCTAGGTGCAAACCTGAAGGAAAGCAGTTTTTGGAACCCAGTTGTAGAAAGAAGTAAAAAGAGGTTGGCTGGTTAGAAGAGAAATTCTATCTCTTTGGGAGGTGGGATTGTTCTAATAAGATCTACATTGGCTAACCTACCCATCTATTTCCTCTCTATTTTTAGTAATCCCACCAAGGGAGGAAAAGAAACTGGAAAAAAATCATGAGAGACTTTCTTTGGGAGCTAGGAGAGGTCAAGAAAGATCACTTGGTAACTTGGGAGGTGGTGTGTTGAAGCAAGGAAGAGGGTGGATTAGGCATTGGGAATGTAAGAAAGAAAAATACAACACTCCTAGGGAAATGGCCTTTAGAGAGGGAAAATTTGTGGGTTGAGATAGTGGCTAGCATACATGGCAGATCGAAGAATGGTTGGGATGTTGGTGTATCACGAAGGGCTACCTTGGCAGCACCTTGGAAGGCGAAATTTGGGAAGTGTCTCTTGGGAAAATTAACACTTTGGATTCATTGCAAAAGAAAAGACCTTCTCTATGTATATCCCCAAATTGGTGCTCTCTTTGTAAATCTGACGATAAATCTTGCTTTCATCTACTAATTTCTTGCTCATTTGCTAAAGAAATCTGGGATTGGTTTTTCTCCTTGTTTAGGAGTAGGTGCAATATGCCAACGGAGATTAAAATGCTGTTTGATCCATCAACCTTTGGATTGCCGAAGAGAAGGGGAAGAATAATGTGGAGATGCACTAGAGTAGTAGTGATTTGGACATTATGGGAAGAAAGAAATGCAAGAATCTTCCAAGAGAAGGAAAGAAGTAAACAACAAATTATGGAGCGTGTTATGACCAGGGTTATACATTGTTGCAAACATTGGACCTCTTCAAATATTTCTCTTTTGATGATATCTGGAGGAATTGGAGCTTCATAGCCTTTAGTGCAGTACAAAAAATTAAAGCAAGGTCGGTTTGGAATCCTCCCCGTTGAAGATTGGCTGAAACTAAACTTTGATGGGAGCAGCCAAGGCAACCCTGGTCTGTCTGGCATAGGAGGGGCTGTGAGAGACAAGGAAGGAAATTTAAAAGACATCTTTTCAGGACCAATGGGACATGGAGACTCTTTAAAGGCAGAACTATATGCAGCCCTACAAGGCATTCAGATTGCAAAAGATTTAGGAGTGGAGAAATTGATGATAGAAGGGGACTCCAAGGTGGTGGTGGGTTGGCTAGAGAACCCAGATTCAGTGATTTGGTGTTACAGAAATGAAATGAAGAAATTCAAATGGCTCCGACAACAGATGATTTTAATTATACAGTGGGTGGGAAGGGAGGCCAATGAACTGGCTGATTCTCTAGCTAAGCAAGGGGTAACTAGGGACCAGATGTATTGGGCCCATTTGTAAATCTGCTATATATTTTTGTTAAAAAGTGAGGCTGCAACTCGTTCCTCACACTGGGATGCTTGTAACAGATGTAATCCTTTGCTTCTAATGAAATTTAATGATAGTTATTTATCAAAAAAAAAAAAAAAGAAAGAGATTGAAAGTTTGACATGCTTGAATTCTTGAGTACTTGAATATGTTTTATAAGTTATGTTTGATTTTATTTTTGCATTTTAACTACTTTTTTATATGTTATGTTTATGTAATTTAATTGGGATTGACTATGATACTGGAAAAAAAAGAGCATACAGCCAATTAACTGGTATCATAAAAAGGTGACTAATCTGGTGGTATTCATAAAAAATTCACGGGGGTGCTTTCATTGGTCAAAGTTTTTCTAGTACCATGTCTTTCTGGTATGATAGATTTTCCCATTTTAATTTGATCTAATAAACTTTTTAAAAGATTTAGTTTAAAATTAAAGTTTTTATTTTTTAATTAATACTAATTTAAAATTTTTAACATTTTTTTTTCATTTTTGAATTTAAAAAAATTATGCCTTGCTTTGAAAAGGTGTGCACCTTGCCTTGTGCCTTGTGCTTTGTGTGCAAAAAGCCCTTTGCGCTTTTTTTGTGCCTTGCACTTCTAAAACACTGGTTTGGTCTTTGAGTACACTAGGACCCCTTCATCTTATGTTCCTCTTGCAAACAACTACTGTCTGTGGTTTTTATCTTATTTAGTCTATTTTATGTGTTGCTTTGTTTATTTATTATTGTTTTTGAAGTTGTATCTAATTATCATAACAAGCTTAAGTTGCTAATGAACTTCTTCATGTAGGTTTTGACCTTTGAAAGGTTTGAGCATCTTGGATTCCTCATGCAATTTGGTGAAAAGGGGTCTGAAGGAATTCCATTGAATCAGGCTGCACCGTTTTTTGCAAATTCAGATCCAAACATGCCTTCTGTCCCCATTCCAGCAGCACAAGTTCATGAATGGATTCTACAAAATATAGCTGAGGCCTTAGAACATAGTTCAGAAAGAGTTTCTTCAAAAGAAAATGGGTCACCCCATACCCCTGACCAGGATGTTGCTATGTTTGATGCAACAAGTCCCTTAAAGGGATCTGCTTGTACTAGAAGTCTGAATTTTATAGAGGGAATTTCCAAAACTTCACTTACAAAGCAAGCATCTGATCTAAATGGTTCTTCTGTAAAGGTAAGGATTGAAACATTTCCTCAGCATTTTTCTCATTCTTTTTATTGTTATTTTTTTAGATTTTTTTGATAAGTGGTATTTTTTTAATATTTTGTTTCATAAGTTTATTCTCCTCTGGCATAGCCGCTAGTTTGGTGTGGTTTTACTTTTTATCCAAGGGTTACTTAAAGATTTCAATTTCCTAGAGGATATGTTTTCTGTATTTTGATGAATTTTCATTTTATAGAGTTCTTACCAATAATTTGGTACTTTGCTTTGTTGCTTTCTACTGTTTCTTTTTCACCAACAAATTGTGGGCCATGATTCATCAAAAAAAAAAAAAAAACGTTGAGGGCCATGTGCAAATGCATGTGCATATGAAGTTTATAAAATAGGGTAAAATATAAATATGACAAAGGTATTCTTGAAAACAACAACAAATATATTGGGTCTTCTTTGAAAACATATTTTTTATTTGAAGAGAAGCTTAAATGAATGATTATTATGATTGGCTGCATCGATCTTAATCTTGTTTCAACATAATTATATTTTTTATGAGGTTTGCGTACTTGATTGCAGCACGATAGAAGATAAATTTTATCGAAAAAGCTTTTGAAATATCATAATTGACCAATGATCTAATGGACCATGTTGATTGCCTTGATAAGTATGTATTACACCTATTTAGTGATCCATAGGATAGGCCATGTGGGCCATTGTGTTTTTATTGTGGATTGGTGGAAGAAAGCTTGAGCCTTAACGAAATGCACCAATTATTAATATTAAATAATAGTTGAAATAAATTTGCTACAAAGATTCATAAAAGAAAATATAGCTGAACCCAATACTACATGCATCCAATGACATGGCTTTTGTAATAGTTGAATTTGATGAGAATGCGAGGTTGCCCTTTGTATTTTGGTCTTATAATAGTACAAGTAATTAAAATTATTGTGACTGCTAAATATATGTTTCAAAAAGAGTGTATAAGGATGGAAAAACTGAAAAAACAAAGGTATTTTTGGAATTGAAAGTTTGATCATGGACGAAGGGGGAGTTTCTTGGGCGTGAAGCTCTCTCTTTTTACATAGTATATTGATATGCACGGACAGTAATCTTCTTTTACTTATTCTTCAAGCAAGAAGCTGTTCTTAAGAAATGCAATTGTATTGATATAATGGTGGAAATCCCTTGTAGAAAATATTTTACAAAATCACCAAGCAACTCAATGATTGCTAGGGGTGTGTGTGTGTGTGTGAAGTGAGACTAAAGGACATGCCGACAGGGTAGATGTTTCTGAATGTCTCCTTGGCTTGAGTGCTTCTTTATAATCACAGAGTGGGATGAGCATCACAAAAGAACATGTCAATCTGTTTTGGCCGATTAATTTCTGATTGTTGCCTTGTTCTCTTAAGGGTGGGGAATTTTATAAAATGTTTGTATTCAGGTTGTTGATGAAGAAAGAAGATGAAGAGAGTTGGAGAATAGGGTGGCTTCTTCATTTCAGCACATCAAATTGTTATTTATATTAGGGCAACAATAGTGCATGAGTTGACAAAATTACCCCCAATTAGTAAGAGGTAATGTAACTCAATATATAAGAAGGCCCAAGCCCATTTACACTTAAAATCAGTACATAATAATAAAGCCCAACAAAAAATAAACACAACATAACATAAATGGGCCAAAGCCCATACTGTTAAGTCCCACAACACTCCTCCCCCTCAAGCTGAGCATAGATGTCCATCTGCATCATACCCAACTTGCATATCAACTCTCCAAATCTGGTTCTAGCAGACCCTTCGTGAAGACATCAACAACTTGTCTTGCAGCTGGCATATAAGGAATGCATAACTCTCCTGACACTATCCTTTTTCTCGCAAAGTGCCTATCAATCTCTATGTGCTTGGTCCTATCATACTGGACAGGGTTATTAGTAATGGTTATTGCAGCTTGATTATCACAATAGAGTTTCAAAGAGCCGAGCATAGTGATTCCCAATTCCTTTAGGAGTATCCTAATCTAAAGAAGTTCAGCAATTCCATGTGCCATGGCCTGGTATTCAGCTTCAGCACTTGATCGAGCCACTCCAATTTGTTTCTTGCTTCTCCAAGTCACAAGATTTCCAACCTACAAATGTGCAATATCCAGTTGTAGACTTCTTATCTCCAGCTGAGTCAGTCCAATCAACATCAGTATAAGATTCTACATTAAGCTTATTTATGATTCTTAAATAACAATCTTTTTCGTGGACATGTCTTCAAATACCTTAAAGTTCTCTCCACTACCTTGTGTGAAACTCGAGGAGCATGCATAAATTGGCTAACAACATAGAGTCATAGACAGCATAAGCAATATCAGGTCTAGTGAGAGATAGAGAAGTTTACCCACAAGGCGTTGGTATCTTTCCTTGTCTAGGTAAAGCTCCTCATCCATTTCCTGTAATCCATGGTTTTGCTCTATGGGGTCTCAATAGGCTTGCTTCCTAATTTTCTTGTCTCCTTTAGAAGGTCTAAAGCATACTTCCTTTGGTAAATATAAATTCCTTCCCTAGATTTGACCACCTCTATTCCTAGGAAGTACCTTAGAGGTCCAAAGTCCTTTATCTCAAACTCTGAGGCCAAGAACTTCTTGAGTCTTTTGATCTCCTTTGAATCATTTCCTGTCAGCACCACGCCATCCACATATACAATCAATGCTTTTAACTTCTCTCCATTTTTTTCTATAGAATAGTGTGTGATCAACACTACTTTGATGGTAACCCACAATCTTCAATGCTTTACATAATCTCTCAAACCATGCTCTAGGTGATTGTTTAAGTCCATAGACTCCATACAAAGCTCTCTTCAACCTGCATACTTTTCCTTTCATGTTATAGCCTGGTGGAAGGTCCATGTAGACTTCTTCTTGAAGTTCTCTATTCAACTTGGCAACTATAATTAATTGTTGGAGACAATAACACCCGTATGGTGTTTAACTTGGCAATTGGGGCATAGGTCTCTATACAGTCTATGCCACTAACTTTGCTTTATATCTCTCTATTGATCCATCACCCTTGTGTTTTACAGTATACACCCATTTACATCCAACAATGCTCTTTCCAATTGGTAGATCCACCACTTCCCAAGTACTAACCTTTAGTAATGCTCTTGTTTCTTCATCCACTGCTTTCCTCCATTTAGGATCAACAACTGCCTTAGAGTACCTGGAAGGATTGGAAGTGGAAGACAAGGCAGAAACAAAGGAATAATATGTTGGAGACAAATGGGAATAAGAGAAACTTATTTATAGGGTGAAGAGTACAAGACCTAGTAGGTTTTTGCAAAGCAATAGGAAGATTCAAATTAGAGTTAGAAGAAACTGGGATAGTACCTTGATCGGCTTCAGAGGCATCTAATTGGTTGTAGTTATAGACTGATGGGCTTTCTTCCTTTTCCTCAAATACACACTCATCTCCCTCTCAACAATATTGTCAACTTCTATAGTGGGAGCAACCTCATCATCTTGTGTAGTAGTTGTCTCATCATGTGCAACAATAACAAGAGTGGTAGGGCAAGGACCATTAGAACATTGAGAGGCACAAGGAGAGGATGAAAGAGGAGAAGAGGGAGTAGGAGTAGAGACAAATTGATTTAACTTTGGAGGAATTCTCTTCCACCCACAATTCTCCCCCTAAAGAGGATTCCAGGAAGGTTCAAAGAATGACTGTGACTCACAAAAGGTAACATTTTTGGTTACAAATTTCCTCCTTGTGTGTGGATCGAAACACTTGTATCCTTTTTGTGTGGGTGAATAACCCAAAAAGACCCCCCTGAATTGCCTTTGGATTCAACTTGGTTCTTTTTGGATCTTTAACATGAATGTAGCAAACATAACCAAAGATTTTTGGTGCTAAAGAGAACACATGGTCATTAGGACAAAGAACAGAGAAGGGAGTCCTGGATGGCATCTTATTTATCAAATATGATGCAATAAGTACTGTATGAGACCAATACTTTTTGGGATCCTTGTGCTGGTACAACTAAGTACAAACTATCTCCATAAGATGCCTAATTTTCCTCTTTGCAACCCCATTCTGCTGTGGGGTGTAACTGCAAGAGGATTGGTGTAAAGTCTCTTCATCTTCAAAAAATAAGTTCAAGGTATTCTTGAAATATTCAGCTGCATTGTTTGACTTGAATGGTTTAACTTTCCTTCCCAAACTGGATTTCAATCATCTTATAAAATATCATAGTAATTCTGGGAACTTCCCTCGTGTTCTTTCATAAGATAAACACATGTACACTTTGAGAAATGATAAATGAAACTGATAAAATAGTGATAGCCATCCATAGAAACAATGGGTGAAGGGCCTCCCTTACATCAAAGTGAACTAAATCAGAAAAATGAAGTGACATTACTAATAGAACTTGGATGGTTTGCCTTACAATGTTTTGCCAACTAGCACACATCACAAAAGATATTTTCAATAGACACATTTTTGAACAATTCTGGTAACAAAACTTTCAACAATGAAAAAGACACATGACCTAAGCTAGCATGCCAAGTGAAAAGGGTTGTGCTTAGCTCCTTGTTACTGCTACCATTGGTAGAGGCCTTCAGAGCAGAGCATATATCATCATCAAAGTAGTAGAGGCCACCAGCTTCATGATCACTCCCAATCATTTGCCTCATCAACTGGTCCTAGAAAACACAATGAGTGGGAAGTGGGAACAAAGGTTATCATACAATCTAGGGTTTTGGTAATTTTTGAGACAGAAAGTAAACTAGTGGTGAAGTTTGGAAGATGTAAGGCAGATTTGGGGAGGATCCCCTTTCCTTGTTGAATGTTTCTCCTGCCAAAAACATTGGAAAGAGAGCCATCAGCAATTTTTACCATATCATGTCTAGATGAGAGATGGTAAGTAGTGAATAATGAGGATGAAATTGTAATGTGTTCAGAAGCTCTTGAATCAATGGCCCAAATGTTTGATGAAGACGACTAAATAGCACTAAGAGCAGATGTTATACTTGGTTTTGCA